AAAAAATCTAAAACCATTTTGTTTCTCCAACCTAATCTCCTTGGGATATGAAGTGGTTGATTGCATTGTTCTCAGGAAGACGCGTCCACCTAAAACCATAATTAAACTCCAAAATCTTCCTTTTTAAACAGGGAAATGTTAGCTCTTAATCTTTGATCTAACTGTTTGTGACCGTTTGATTTTCAGGTTTGCATCCTAACAATCTACTAGATTCCATACTTTTCTTCTATTTCTCCTTTTCCCTATCTTCTTTATTTCTTTTTCCTTAATGCAAACTTCTTTGTGTTTCAACCATGTCCATTGAATCTTTCGAAATTTTTTTTTTGCTTCCCAATTAATGTTCTTGCTTTAGAGGCAAAAACCATTCTTAAGCCCCTAGACTTGTCCCAAATTAGCATTTAAACCCTTGGACTAAAAATGATGCAATTAAACCCTTCAACTCCTGAACTTGTGCAAATAAGCCCTTCAACTTAGATTTGTTCCAAAAGTGCCGACACCTATATTATTGTGTTGACACTCTAAGTAATTTTCAGTTTAGAAAACTTGTATTTTTAATTTAATCCTATTTTTTTGATACTTCCCTTTGCCTCAATTAATTTGAAATTGACTCGAGTCAAATCTCATAAGGGAAAAACTCTTTTAGTATTTATTTTTCTATTTATAAGACTTAAATTTAAAATCTTATTTTAAAAATATTAAGTTTTTTTTTTATTTAAACCCAGAGATTGTTGAGAATTCCGTCATACTTTTCTATTAGATTTTTTTTAAAATAAATCAGAATCTGGAGTTTAATTGTAAAATAATTACGTATCTCATTTTTATTAATAAAAGTTAAAGATACCACATACATTGTTCATGATTCATATATTACAAAAGAACAATGTATGTGGTATCTTCAACTTTTATTAATGAAAATGAAATATGTAATTATTTTACAATTAAACTCTAGATTCTAATCTATTTAAAAAAAACTCTAGTAGAAAAATAGGACATAATTCTTACTGACCTTTAGATTTAAATTAAAAGAACTTAGTTTTTCTTAAATAAAGTTTCAAATATGAGTTTTATAAATAGAGAGATAGGTTCTAAAAGAGTTTTTTCTTTATGAGATCCGATTCGAGTCGATTCCAAATTAATTGGGGCAAAGGGAAGTACCAAAAAAGTAGAATTAAATTAAAAATACAAGTTTTTTAAACTGAAATCTACTTAGAGTGTCAACACAATAATATAGGCATCGGCACTTTTGCTACAAATCTAAGTTGAAGCGCTTATTTGCACCAATTGGGGAGTTGAAGGGCTTAATTGCATCATTTTTAATTCAAAGGCTTAAATGTTAATTTGGAGTAAGTCTAGGGGCTTAAGAAGGGGTTTTGCTTGCTTTAGAATTAGTTACTACATCACATCGTGGGCTTGATTTCCTCCAAGATCTAAAAAGAATGATCAACGAAAGACTAATCATACTAGGCTTTTGAGAGTTGGGTCCATGGACACATAAACCCAAATTAGATTTGACAATTACTCTTAAGAATTTCCAAACTCATGAATCTTGCAGAGGCTTTTCCGTGGGATCTAATGTGCAATTCGTGAGAACTAATAATGTATGCAAGATCCTTTCTTCCATGACTATAAAGGAAATTGCCAATCGCTGTTATGAATTCAATGTAGTACTAGAAAGTATGTTGTCTCTTACCCTTACAACTATGTTGCCTTTGTATAGTATTCTCCCATTGTCAGTAGTTGCTAAGCCCATTTAGTTTGTGGTTGAAGGTTTCCTATTCATCCTTTTGTGGTTGAAATCTAATCTATCATAGAGCAAGTGTTTCCCTTAAGAAAGAAAATTTCTCTTTCTTTTTCCATTTGAAAATAGGTAAAGGGTTCGACATATGAGTTTATTTTACCAAAAGAGATGTTAAAATTTCTGTATGAAGGCTTAAATCCTACAAAGTGGAAAATTTCTTCATTAAGGAACCTTATCCTTTTTTCTTTTTTTTTTTAATGACTGGCAAATGAAGTTCTATTTTGTTGAAGACAATGATTTACCCAATGTCTGGAGGGTTCCTCGTAGTACCATTGATGAGATTTACATGGATAAGGAAGCCTATGTAGTTATAAGGACTTTGATGAAGGTTGATAAAGAGGTTTACGATGTGACATACTTGATTACTCTAGAAAATTTGATGGCTATAGGGATGTGGGTTAGGCCTAGATTCCCTATTTCGATACTTTGGTTCCTAAAGCCCTTGTTGACTTAGATGCGTTGATGAAGATGCTATTATTGAGACTATTGGTAAAGGTAATCCTAGAAGGAAAGTTATGAAGAAAAAGAAACTTGAAAACTATGTCAGTGTTCCTTCCTTGAAATCAAAGTCCTTAGTAAGTAGATATCTTCCTTGTCTTCTCATCTTTAATTGCCTATTTTTTCCTTTTTAACCATTTTTCACTTTGTAGACAAAGGACTAGCTTTCTTGGGAAAAAAGGCCAAGCAAGACTCCACTTCTAGCTTACAATCTTAGAAGATCCTTTTCTAACCCACAAAATTGAATGTTTCTCTAGAGATTCCTCCTAGTGACACTTCTTTTGCCAAAGATGCTCCTGCTATCAGGGATCTCATTGATGTTGCAAGTAGGCTTTCTATTTCACATAATTATTTCATATAATCCAACTTTTTTTACCTCAAAAATCTAAAGTTAGAGTTTATTGGGATTTCAATCAATCATTTGCCTTATTCAATATTAACATTTCTTGAAAAACTATTTAATTAAACAATGTTTCTTTCAAAATTACTAATAAGGAGTATTAAGTATATTCAAACACAAACATACTTGCTCTTATATCATTGTAATTTTACCTTTAACAAATCCTGCATTATTAGTTAACAATAAGGTTTTATTTAACTCTACTCAGTGTTAGGCATGATCGAATAACTAATACTAAATGGTTAGCAACAAACTTAGGATCACTGTAGAACTTAAAATCACTTCCAATACCTTACATTTTTTTTTTTTTGTTTCCTATTCCTTACTTAACATTAATCCCTCACCTATAAACTAAAAACCTTACAACTTCTCAAGTTTTAAAAGGGAAGAAAAAAAACCCAAAAAACCTACATACATTTAGAAAACCCTAGTTAATTTCCTCAATATGTATCATGGACCATAAGGAAACCAATGTTGTGGATGATTACAAGAGTTGAAAGCCATGGCCATCACTAACTTTAAAATCTCTTGTTGTTTTGGTGCTCTTATGTTTGTTATGGATTTGCTTTCTCAATTGCTTGCAAATGAGGCACCAAGAAGTAGCACAATCATAATGACAACCATGTCTTTCTCCTCCTCCTTCAAGTCTAAACTAGTCGCACTTTTGTGGAGTCATATTAGCTTTATTTAAGTTGGAAACATCATCCTCAGCATCTAAAGGTACTATAGCCCAACCAATAGTATCATAGTTTTCTTCTTGAAGCACCTCATTGATATTAATGTCATCAACATCTAAGTTCTCTTGATTAGAAGGTATTGGCACACTTAATGCATCCCAAAGTGGTGCTTTCAACATTATTAGCCAATTTGAATCTTTTGAATCCTCAACATAAAAGACCTATTTAGCCAATAAAAAAAAAAAAACCCAAAAACCCTACATACATTAAGAAAACGCTAACTAATTTCCCCAATACGTATCATGAAAAATAAAGAACTTCCATGTTGTGGACGATCATAGGAGTTGAAAGCCATGACTATCATTAACTTTAAAATTTCTTCTTGTTTTGGCACTCTTATGTTTGTTATGGATTTGCTTTCTCAATTACTTGAAAACGAGGCACTAAGAAGTAACACCATCACATTGACAACCATCTCTTTCTCCTCCTCCTTCAAGTTCGAACAAGTTGTGCTT